ATAAGTTTATATAGTTGAACATATGTTTACTGGATAGAAATAATAAAATTAGAAAAAAAAACGTGAAGAAATCTTCATTTTTAAAGGAAATATGTTAATTTTAACAGATACTTCAAAAATCGCATATTTTTCAAGGTATTTTTGGACGGTACTCGGAAAATTTATAAGATACTGTAAGGGTTAATATCGATTTTGTGAACCTTGATCAGATTTGTTGGCGAGTGTAAATGCGTACCAACCAAAGTCTCGTTTACGGTTCGCGCGACCCTTTTGCTCTTCTTCCCAACAGCATTCTGCGTGTACAGTTGCGCATATGGAAACGCAATGCCTGTTTGGAATATAGTCTCCACTGTTAGCACCCACAAAGCTCATTTTGATCAGTTCATTGGTTCAGTGGTTATAATTTATTGTAAAAACGTTAACACTATATTTCAAACAGCTGTAAAATCAACAATTTTCAAAAGTTTTAAAAATCCTTTGAGATACGTTTATATCCCACTAAAGACGATAACTTATCAAAGTTTCAACAAAATCCGAAATGTTACTTCAAAAATTGTCTGATTTCGCGTGGAATGACCCTATGTGAAAGGTTGGGCTGTACGTTAAGCGCCATCATGAGAAAGAAATGATATTGCTTTTGATCGCTCTATAAAAAAACAGCAGAAAATCAAGGACACAGTATCTAAACTAATACAGGGTCGCATTAGGCCATAACGTGTTAATTTCAGTGAGTTTATCTATAAAAATATGCAGTCGCGATTTACAAAATTCGACTATCTGAGACTATAACAAACTTCTGATCAATACTGTATACCGCACAACCTACATTTTCGTGGAAGCTGTGAGTCATCCCGCCGCGTGTTTCTTTCGGTTGTTCCGCGAACTGTGTTTCAACCGATATGCATACACGTAGGTACGGGTAGAGACCTGAAAAATAACTTTTCAAGCAACCACACACGTTCTTTGTCCCACAATAAGCGGAGTCCCATTCAAGGTTCGCGCGTTGTTTAAGACAGGGAACAGGTTTTGTTACTTTCGGCGGGGGATTTCACTTTCTAAAGCCTAGGACCTTGTCGAGGATTTGAGGAATAACCGTCCAAAATGAGAACACGTTGAATTCTTTGAAGATCATTGTTTGAATGAAACCGGTCGATGTTAATAATGCTCCGTCGTTTTACACACTGCTAATTGGTACTACTAACGTGCCAATAATTGTAGGTTGAGCCAAAAGTTATTAATAGAAAGAGAGCAACGTCGACCACGCACCCGGATATTTCAGCGCAAGTTGAATTAACACGTTATCGTCACGAACAGAAGGGATTGAAAGATATTTTTAAGTCTGTACTCGGATCGTCGAATAACAAGTACGACTGGGTGGGAACCTAATTTTTAAATTTTCGAAACTCTAATCTGAAACTGTATAAGATTTCGAAACTCTCAAAACTTCCGAAACTCTGGAAACTTGGTGTTGATTTTCTTTTGTAAGAGAAATATTTTTCTTTTATGCACTGAAGTCTCGACAATATTTTAGCATAAATCTTCATTGATTATAGTTAAACAAAACACAAACATAACAATATATTCATTTATCCTTTTTTAGCACTAACATTCGTTAGTTTAACAGTTCCCAATTTTGCTACAGTAAAGACTCCATGAGAGTTTGAAACTTGGGTCCGTTCAAAATTTTCTACGTACGATTACTTACTCATCGATTTTATATTTGTTCTTGTCTGGGTTTCGAGAATTTCGAATAACAAAGAAAGTTTTGAACTTTCGAAACTCAAAACTTTTTTGAGTTTCGAGAAACCCATCCCTAATAACAAGTATCGGCGCGTCGAGTCTGTGCTTCGTTTCGATCTTACGAAATCAGGATGCTCTAGAAAAAAAAAACTATGTTAACAGACGCCTCGATAGGCCAGCCCGGTGAAACTGATACACGATGTTCTCGATATCGTGGAACTATAGGCGACAGATTTCAAATGATATATTCAGGCTGTACTGGAAAGTTAAATAACGGACGGTCGCACGTGCGAGGGTCCCATCATCGATCACCAACTGTTTCGAGCGTATGTAAGACACAGAGGCGTCATATCTGTAAAGTTTCAAGGATAGTGATACACTTTATCGTACTGTAATCAAGACCCTGTTCTAGGCTGTCCCCTTTCTCGAGAATTACCCTAAATACACTAAACATCAGACAGATTCGAATAATAAGAACTGTTAAAAAAAACTCAGAATTCAATATATCAATTTTTCCAAGGGAATAATGTAATATTGAATTTCAATTTATTTGTGGTAATTATTATTATTATGCTAAATGTATTATTTGTTGATGTTAAATTTTGCTTTACTTTTTTATCAATACATTGAGAATTAAAAATATACAAAACCGGGATTTCTGTGCGTAAATTAACAAAAATGAGTTAAAATCGATTTATCATTGCTGATTGTAATAAATTCCTTGACATTGTTTGCAACTAAGCATTAAAAAACGTGTTACTTATGATCTCGACTGCGCAAAATAACTGAAAGTCACTTCAGATAACCGTATATACCGGGAGCATTTTGCACGGAATTTATCTTAAGATCTTTTTTTCTGTCCAATCGATCGATCGTTCGAGTTCCTATCACTTCCAAAAACTAATCTTATCGTGATCGTTCATACGTTTACTATTATCGCATTTCATCTGTCTGCTAACAAACTACAGAAGACACGTTCGATGAGAGAAGTGCCTTCGTTAGAGAAAGTCTACTGAACTTTCCGCCAATCAAACAGATTTCAACCTCAGTAGCTACGCTCACTGAAATTATCGCCGTTTATCGCCCGCGTATTTCAAAATACAGTACGATTAAGTCATATCATTCGCTTCGATGCTTAGGGTAAATGAACCGTTAACGCGGGAGCGTATCATCTACGCCTATGTTAGGCGTGGAGAAATCTGCAGGGTCAGACAAGATTTCACCACGACCGTGAGCAATAACGTGTACAGAGAGCTTAATATAAAACTGTCGTAAGATTAATAAATGTACTATAGTATAGAAAATATGGAACTGTAGGAGATAATTTAGGTACAATGGGCGTAATCCTTCACACGTTTCCTGGTTTGGCGATACATTTTATAAGTGATCCGCTTGAGAATCTTGTTATGGGTCACGATTGACTCAGCCACCGATCTGGACGATCCATTAAGGGTTAAATATATATAATCATTGGAGTGTTCGGTGACGCTATTTGAGACAAGAATCTATCAGTTGCTGAAGGTCATCACTTGGTACTTTACTTACCTCTACCATTCGACCGTCTTGCACAGAATGAAGGCTGCTGAAGGTTACCAAACGGTTAACCTCACTGCTTGTCTGTGATAAAGAATATTGGTCGCTTAACAAATTGCGTATATGTTGTATACATATTCTGATCACGAGACATTCCTCAGTGTCCTTTATTACTATATGACATACCTATATGATTCTCTACATCGAAGTAATTCATTTCGATGATTACTTTCGTTTTGATTGACACATGAGAACCGAACACTATAATAGTTATTTTGTAAGGGTGTTGGAAGTTTGGCAATGTCAGTATTCAATATGTGATGGTTGCTAAATGGCAAAGGCAATCGTTCAGCTACTTCGTAGAAAATATTAGCTTTTCAAGGTCAATGAACGTAACCTCGCCGTTTGACTCCTTAACAGGATGACTGGTACATGTTCAAGGTGTCCCCGCTAACGTGATTACTCACAGTATCTCTTTTGTTACTAAGGATACAAGAAAATGGTAAAAGGAAGTTGTATAGTCATATACAAGTTTTTTTTTTATCATTTTCTTGTATCCTTATATATTATAAAAATAAAAATAATGTTAATTATGTAAATAAGAATATTTTATAGTTAATAGGGCCCCCTTCAAGATCATCTTGTATGCCCTTGTACATACCAGCAGTACTGTTACACCCTGTATAGATCAGATGTGTAAGCTACAACCCAGTTCCAAAAGCATATTCCAATAATAAGACAATATTCTATTCCATTTGGCCTCACCTAACACTTCTTAAAATATTGAAACTGTACGACCTAGGACACTCTGCATATATTTATAAGAAGTTGGCGCGAATAGTGGAGCATTCCTCATTCTTATCACCCCAATAATTAAGGATAATGTTTGGCTTTCATCCTTTTATCAATTCTGCAATAAAGAATGTGGTGTCGTTACAAAAAATTCATCCCTCATCGTTCAAATGCCCTCTGTTAAGAGTACGTTGAACCACTTGGCTTACACTTGGAGGATGACCTAAATTCAGGTGCAGGATACTCGCAATCATTGTGTACCGTGTACAGAATGTCCAATGCCAACCGGTTCGCGCGTTGTGCAATGTGATGTAACAAGAGTCTGCTATCGGTAACGCGAACACTCATTCTAGTCGTCAATGACGAACCTGTAGTGAAGCCCAAAGATACCGAAGCAATCGAGAAGTGTATATAGTGCGATCTGAAAAAAGGGACATATAATTTAGGATGCTCCAGAACTCATTAAAATAAACAAAAAATTCTCTAATTATTTATCTATAATTACCCGTTTTTTGTATCACCCTGTATACAATTTGCCAATATTTGGACGTTCAGGTTTCAAACTGGATACGATAGTACCATTTTTACAAAATGATCGTTACGATTACCCCTGAAGTCCGATGATACGCTAACAAAATATTTACGCAATATACTGCCCGAATGAATAAAAAATATTGTATATGTACAAAGTAATTTCTAAGAAAATATTGTTTAAATAATAATGAAATATACCGTTATCGAAACTTAAATACTGCAGTGTAAGTGGCGAGGTACAGCAGAATGCTGTTATCTACCTACCTTGGTACAAGTGTACTAAACAAGTATGTCTTTCGACGTTGATAAATAATCTTGAAAACGTTTTACTTGAAAATTGTTCGAATGTCTTGATTCTCTCTTTTCGTCATGCTCATTTTAGACATTTTTACGTGTTCCAGGTCTGTGGCCTAGGTATCCTGACCGTTGGAATCCTCGTGCACCTGCAGCTGTCAAATGTCACCGACAGACTTGACATAAGCATCGCGTTCCCATCGATAACATTAATGGTTCTCGGTGGTATCATATTTATAATCGCGTTCTTCGGATGCTGCGGTGCCATTCGGGAAAGTCATTGCATGACAATTACCGTAAGTATATAAAGTTCTTTAAATATCAGCGTTATAAACGTTATTACCTCATTAGAATCATATTATGAACACACTATGGGAAAAGATAATTTTTAAATACAGGTGTAAACTAATAACTCATTAAAGTAATAACTGTTATTGAATTTACTGATACGTTACGTTCTCTTGTGCTTTCACATGTTTATATTTATTACAAATGTATAAAATCTTCATCTAATTACGATTAAATAGAAGCGTATTCTTTAAGTTCAGTGTTTGTATTACGAGTCAGGTTAAATGTTTGCACCATTGGTAACAAGTTGCTATTAAATTGGTATAGAGTGATTTTATATCGATAGTACAAGAAACACTTTTCAAATGGTCTGATTTCTTTTTAGTTCGCATCGTTACTACTTTTCATCTTGCTGATCCAAGTGGCGGTCGCAGTATACGCTTTCGTTGTCGTTAAGAACACTGACAACCACATCAATATTGAGGAGGGTTACACCCAGGTATTCGAAAAATACTACACGAACGAAGAGAACAAACAGCTTGTGGATGTTATTCAAGCCGGTGTAAGTGGTTCTTCATTACGTATTATTTTATTGAACCGTTAACGATTTTCCAATATTTTTGTATTGTAGGACCGAATGTTGGGACCTTATCAAATTCATTTTAAAAGTATTCTTTAACATTGCTTAGTCTGTGGCGTTTATGTAAAAAAAAAGAAGTATAGTTCAAATGTCATACCGCATGATTATACAATGGATTCTTAAAATTTCGAATTGTATGTTACAGTTCCAGTGCTGTGGTGTTAACTCTGAGAGCGATTTCAATCGTCATGGTAACTTCAATGGCACTATACCTTTCAGTTGCTGTGGCAAACAGGAGGGAGAGGAATGTTCGAAAGATGAGTCGTATAAAAAGGGTTGTGCAAAGGAAATATCAAAGGCCCTCATGTTTGCAGGATCGGTGTTGGGTGGCGTTGCTATTGGCATTGCCGCAGTTGAGGTGAGTTTTATTATGTTAAGTTTTTACGTCGGTTTATTTAGATGATCTACATTTTGAATGTACCTCTCTTTATATATATATACATGTACAAATACCTTCCTTTTGTAGTACGATTGTGGTAAATTTTTTCTGAGTTCATTCATCTTACGTTTTTAGGGTTTTGAGTTCTGGTATACCCCCCGTATATTACGACTATTATATATCCTTGTATATAATTCTATTAAAATAATTATTAATAAGCCTTTACTGCGACATAATTAGTGAATGTTTTGTTATTTACTTAAGTGACATATTGTAGCCTGTACAGGTTTCTACTGGAAATTCTGAAACATTGTTTTCTTACATTTCAGTTGGTCGGCATAATTTTCGCACTCTGCTTGGCGAATTCCATCAGGAACACAGAACGCAGGGGGTACAGAGTGTAAACGAGCAGCAAAAGAAAGTATATATATTGCTTAAAAAAGTAATATAATTAAATAACACTACTCTATCATTTATAATACGATTCGTATGGAGCGGTAGACGTAACCGTACTGTAATGCAACAATTTAGACAGTTTCCTGAACGAACAGAAGAACAAACGAAATCATGAGGAAAGTGCCTTTCATTTTTAATTTTCGAACCATTGTATTTGTTTAAACTTTGATCTTTGTATGTGATATTCAATGTATAAACACATTATTTAATGTATTTTTTATTTTGATATATTTTCCATTAATTTGGATATATTTTTTATTTACGATAGACGAAACACAATAGTAATAATAATTAATATTAACATTAATAATAATAATAATATTAATAATTGGTGCAAAATATGTTCGTAGAAGCTTAGCGTATTTTCTCTTCATGTTATATCAAATTACATAACATTTGTCTGTCAACGAACTACAACTTTACCTAGCATTTCTGCACGTGATTAGAATAAATTTATTATTCATAAGCTCGAAGGAGCTTCAGTTCGACATATAATTTATACTTCGTTAAAATTAAATGATTACGTTCTACAGTTACTCTTAACGTCGGAATAACGAAATGCTAAATCACAGTGCGTCATTGTAGTTCTGCGAACGTATAAAAAAATATTTTTATAACAGTATTTCGAGAAGTATTACACATCGCTTACAGATGCTTTTGATAAGATACAATTCATATTATTGTTTGTACAGCACGTATTCACTACACTTTTCAGAGAGTAATGTCGAATGATATATATTTCCCTTTTAATAAAAATCCGTTTTCTCGAAATTAGTTACTTTTGTCATTAATCCGTTCGCGTTTCTCATTTCTCTATACTCTATGAGAAGAAGAAACAAACATGTCTCACGTTTACACTTTATCCCCGTGTATCAAATGTTTATTATATTCGATCGAGTATAATTATCACAGCTATTTACATGCAAACCGGGACATCGACCTAATTACTTAATTTCCATTTCTTATCGTATTACCTTTCTATTGTAGCGGACAATAACACCAACGTTGGACTATCAATAGATGCATATCGATATTTTGTTTGTTTGTAGGAACGGTTTTCTAAATTGAACATCGATCATGCGCCTTTACATTCGTTATATTGTCGTTATTTATTAAGGTCAAGAGAAGATAACTTACATCTGTTTTGTGTGTGCTATAATACATACTATTTACAATTCCCCGTGTCATGTCTAACAGCGACGAGTTATCGTGTTCTCCTCGCTTCGATTGGCCGGGGAGCAGTGCTTATTAGTCGTAACCTCGATATAATGCAACTTATACGTGTATCTTACGGCTATGCCTCATTAATCGATTACTCTGAGACTGCAGGACAAAACATCGTTCTCTTTATCGTCGGAACTCCTTCGTTGTAGTTACTAAATATTAAAATTAGTCATATACCATTAACATCTCTATGATAACTAGATACAAATTATATACGACATATCGTTTCTTTTCTCCTTCTTTTTTGTATAGCGATTACGTTTGTAACGTAAAACTGGACTCTCGGGTTTTTGTCGTACCGTGTCGCGTTCCGAGCCAGTTTAATCAACATAAGAACAGACATTGTTAGACCTATAAATAGAGCAGAAACGGATGAACGCGAAAGACAACATTGTACCGATGCAGCATTGGGCTGAGCAGACTGTTAACACCTGGTTGTTGGAGTTTTCACTTCGATATAATTACTATTTAGTTGCGTTCATCAACCGTGCCTTCTTAGATATACGCAAGATCAGGAACTGGTCCGTCCATGAAAGTAAAGCTTAATAAATTTTTTGACTAGGAAAAGCGAGTTATCGTTATTTGTGATTGTTTATATTATCAAATGATCTTGCTTTCCTCGATTTATTTATTGAAATATATTTACACTTCATTGCATAGTAATATTTAACAGACACATTCGGTCCTATATTTTTGTTATGCAAAAATAAATTGACTGGATGGACCAAGACCACCAAGAAGTGTTGTGTACTATTAAAATATTGGTTATTGGCACGGAACAAATAAATTATAGAATCATACAATCCTGTGCAAAGTCGGCACTATCACCGAAATTCAGTTTCACGATAGTTATTGCGATGGAGTAATGTCGGATTCCAATTATTCCATACAACTCAGTACATAATTAAAAATTTCATTTGTTGCGATAGGTCAGAAACGTTAAATTGATGGTTTTGCTAAACACTATAACCCATTAACTAATTGGCTTTCATTATTCAATTCTACCTTAGTAAATATAACATTGGATATGTGTATAAACAGAGACCTAACAAAATGAACAATTTATTAAATAATTCATAACTTTGTGAACATTTTTCAGATAATTACAACACTACGGACATTTATGGAATTCATATTTTTACAAACAAATGAACACTCAATTTTTCTGTCAATAGTTGTAATAGGTAAAACAGTAAGTAAATTCCGTGATAAACACTGCTGAAGTTTGTATTTCATTCTGTTAAATCGCATAAAATCTGCAGTCTAATATAATTATCTTTGGAACGAATATTTAATAATATAAAAATTAAAAATTCAATAGTCTGTAAAGGAAGATCGTAACAGCCAATGGGTCGAGTGTGCTCGGCAATGGAGACGTTATGAAATCGCAGGATATTGAATATTTTGTTCCCCAGACGTCAGTCCAATCGATTCTCTGATAATCCGCGCCATCGAATTTAAACGTCTACTTGTACAATATCTCGATTCATTACATTAACGTTATACAGACTAACATTATCTCTATTAATTTGACCAAACGCAAGTAGGTTCGAAACGTTACGTTCTTTTCGGTGTAGCGTTAAATTTCGCACGAATCCACGGCGAAATGTCCACTTGGCACGATGTTTTCGTTCGTACCATAAATACCATACGTCATCCACGAGCTCTCGAATACTCTACCTGTTCCCAAACACTGTTCTTTTCCATTGAGAGGACTGGGTGGAAAGTTATCGCGTGCTCGTAACGCCGACAGAATACGTTTTACGCAAAAAAAAAAAAAAAACAAAAACAAATACATTACAACGCGTCTAAGAATGTTTTATCGACAATCGTCCAGAAAATAGTACAAATTCATATAAAACCGTCGAACGGTCTCTTAACCTAGAGTGTCTAAGCTCAGTGTCGGAAGATATCGCGCTATGTCGCGTGGCATTCGAATCATCGGGTTCTGTTGAAAAACGTAGAAACCAGTAGAAACTTTATCACTCGGTATTTGTTCGATGCAACGATTTCCTTCTGAAAGTTGCTAGTTACTGTGCGTCACGCGAGTCTTTAAGACAGAGATACTACTCGTTGCACGTTAAAAACGGTTTTAAATCACTACCATCTGTGTCTGTTAAACACTCGAAAACGACTTCAATGAGATTTGTTTGAGATCGCGGCTGAAATGTGGTCACGGTTCGAGTTTATGGTGTCTCGCTACTCTGTACATGCTACGTTCTAACAGCGTTTTAGACCACAGTTTACGTAAAAGTTACTGGTACATCAGTGTTACACTAATTAAGAAGTCTACCGTCCACCTTCTGAGCAAGAGAGTATAGAAGTACAACAATTGTCTTCTGCCCGTCTCGATTGAATATACACGGAAATTTAAGTAACCAAGGAAGAGTCGTATTTTCGAAATGAAATCGTCCCGCTGAAACAGAGAGATCGTTCAGACAACAGGCAAAGTAAATCGTGTTGATCAGACAGACGAAATAAGTCATGTTGATTCGTATCGGTTCACTGAACAATTCTGCACAGAGGAAGCTCGGAAATAAAAGAAATACGCGAGACATCCTATGTCTCTTGTTACGTAAATAACTTCGTTCATCCGAATAAAACGACGACGCTTCTAACTTCCCTATTATCGCAGTAGTCATCTCCGACGCCCGGTTGTTTAGGGATATATAAAAACTTTAGTGCACGGCATCGAAGATTCGTTTGGATAATGGACAACGGTTCTTATTCGTACGAAAATGAGTAGCCTATTTACAGATTCCAATATTCGAGCGTGGGCTCAGGATGATGTTAACAAATAGTAGTTAGCTGGAGACCAGACTAATGCACGCGTCGAGTTTTGTTGACGATAGGCAAACTGTACAATTACGTTCACCTCTTCTAAGTTCCAAACTCATGTTTTTCAACACAAATACCATTCGATGTTTTTGTTTAGCAAACATTTGCATTAAAGCTCGTATTTTTCTAAAGTAGAATTATACTGACAATTAATTAACTAACAAAACAGTTGACAGATTTCTATATTGTAAAACAGAAATTCATACCTTTTTTACATATGGAGTGTACCAAGCAGCCATTTACTATTTTTTGAGAAGATAATGGATCGCTTAGATTAAAGATATCTTTTATTTTACCGATTGAAAGAAGGGGCAATAATGAAGCGGAACGAAAGAAAGTGTTCGTCCCTGTTTATTATTACCGAGTCCCATGATATGGTAGGGATGGTAATGTCCTTATAAACGAGTTAAAAACGCGCGCTTATAAAGGGAGAATACCGTACATCGACAAGTTTTCTGCCCTGAGTTTAGCACCACAAACAATCCAAGTTTACCATTTTAATCTCTGAACAGGATAATTTTTCGATTAGGATCATATACACACATGTGAATATGGTCCCCCAAGGACCTACACTGACTAGTTGCGATAGGCTTCGTACGCTCTCTCTTAGACTCTGTTCACGTAATTCTTAAGAAATATATCAACATCAGTTTTGTTGAACAAATGACAATACCCGAAGATATCTTCTTCACAAGCAATGAAACTTCACAGTAACAAAGGTACAACATAAAACAGAAGCCATACAAGGGAACGCAGTCATATGAAGGGCAACACTGCTACCCATTTTACAAGAAATTTAACAGTACAACTGTACTGTAACAGAAAGTTCAAAATAATTCCAGCATAAAGAAAGATTCTAAAATAAGAGGGTTTATGAAATCGTTATGGGACCAGTTTGCCTATCCCTGATCACAACTCTTAGCGCGTTCGAGTTTATTGGAGTGTCCTGCCTCGAAGCTGATCGGAGAGCGGGGAGAGCTTCATGATGTCGCTGTGAAGCTCCACAGACGTCGTGTCATCCAGATCGATCAGACTGGTGTTGGAGCCAGCCAAGGAGGGCGCCACGAACTCGTCAAGGAAGTCGAAGGAGGCCACAGCTTCCCGTTCCTTGTCCCCGTAACGGACGAAGAAGTCCTCGCCCCGTCCAATGATCGACGGCCTGGACGAGCCCCAGCTTGATGGGAGACGCAGCACACGATGTGCCTGGGCCGCCGACGCTGAGAAACCAAGCGCAGCGGGTCAACATGCCTCAGACCTCACTTGATCTCTTTTCTCTCTCTTCCTATACCGGCTCTAGCAGACACAGAGTAGCTCGGCTTAGCACTCTTACACGTATCACGGCCCCCTCTCTCTTTCTTTCTTTCTTTCTTTCTCTCCCTCACTTGTCTCTATCGTGTGTTTTTAATCATTTATCCGTCTCTTTCTTCCGTTCGACATCGTTATACGTGCGATCGTCAGTTAACTTCTCTCGTTTTGATCGTGTGTCCCTTCTTGCCGTGAAATTTCCCATTGGCGGGCACTCGAGTTCGTGGGTTCGAGACCTCGTGGCGATCGAGTAGCTTAGATTCGTTCTGGACACGTTCGCTACCACCCCACCGGTCATGTATACGCAGAATACGCGAAAATATTCGAAGAGGTGCAACATTTATGATTGGAACAGACTCGAATTGGATAAATTTGTGAAACTCACACTTTTTTGCCGTGTATGTATAGTACACGGATGAAAGTTTGTCCGCCATTTTTGATGAATTAAGCACTCCTTTAGATTGCAAATTTAACCGTTTGCCCCTTCTAATACATATATCGTCGTTATTCTATCGATTACACCTTCGTTACTTCATATTTCGTTGGTGTTACAATTTTTGTGCAACTCAAAATACAATAAATATTTAGAAAGTAGAATATTTTATACACTATACACGAGGTATATGCACAGGTAAAATGTAAATCAAACGATACGTATCTTTTGTGGAGTATAACAAACCAGAAGTGACGTTTGCATATATAAAGTCCCCTAATATTCTGCTTTAATGTTTTTTTTTTCAACGTTACAGTAATTTATTTAATTTTTAAATATTTGTATCCATTTCAATTAGGAAAACACCATCGTTCGAATACTTTCGTAAATCTGGGTATGTGACGCTTCGACATTTAATTTTCCATGTATCATTTATCATCTACCTATTTTTTATATATTCTAATGCATAATCACGAAGGTAAATGCATTATACAGACCAGTATATTAGAAATCTAGAGTGGTCCGTTTCGAACGATTTCCAAACAATATGGCGGTAGCGAACATGTTACAAAAAAAAAAATTAAATCCACATTCTTTTATTACTGTAAATATTGATCAGGGCTATTCGTTTGCCACGAGTGGTGTAACATGATTAGAAGAAATGAAGTTTGCGTTAGAGACAATGTATTCGTGAAAAGAAATACTGACTATCCAAGGATAAATGATAACAGCCCCATCTCAGAACTCTGCTCTTTAAATTCTCAGTATTGTACGTCAGAGTGGGGACAGTGACCCTGGACAGCCAACAGTTTCTACACCAATGTAAGATCTGATTGAAAGTAACACACTCCAAGGCAAATGATGAATAGTAGAGGAGTAATGAAAAACATTAAAGATAGTGTGTAACAGTCGAATATCCGCCAATGATACTTAGACAATACCATTATTATATAGAATGAGAGAGAAAGTAACTGTTTTATGTGACCCTTGACGCAATTCCAGATACGACGATCCGACACGAAGACAATATACATTGACAAACATCGGGAACTTATTTACACAACAATGTTTAGTACGAGAAAGATTTTGGGGACAGTAGAATTCGCTCCACTTTCAATACAATAACCGAAATTTGACAGGTTTCAAGAGAAAAAAATAAATTAAAAAAAATAGTCTATCAACACATTACGTACAAATTTTTACAAACGGTCGTGAATTCATTTTAATCGCTCCATTGTTTGCGTCGATAGTTAACATAATAAAAAATAAATGCATGATTTATATATTGTTGTTACAAGTTATAGGTTACGTTCGTAATGTGTTAACCACGTGTGTTCAGAGGCTGTTCATGGTCTACAGGCGGCAAGGTTGGAATTGCGTGAAGGCGACCGACAGCGGAATTCGTTCTAAATTCTCTTCTGGTTAATAATCGGTTAGTAAGCCAATGGAAAATCCGTTGTTGCCGTACAGTTCACGTTGGAATGTAGGTCCCGGCGGAACGATTCCTCCCAAACTGGCATGTCGGTTACAGAAACTGATCGTCACTAAGCCGAACTACGTAGCTTTTCTTGTGACAATCAAAGCACACCGCGTAGGAGCTACCATCTGAACAGAAAACGTGGAAAAGGCTATGTACAGCGAAGGGCTACTCTAGCGTTCGTGTTCTGTTTCTTTCTTTTCTGTATGACTGTACAGTGTCAGTGTTGATTGTTAATGTTTCTGGAATGTGTTGACGCGATAGTGCAGAGAGGCCACGCTAACGTACGAAACATCGAACATAGAAGTGAAGTGATCGTTGTTCTGGAATATAGCCCAATAAGTTATGGTCATTAAATAATCGATTTCACCAATTTCATCTCTGCCGTATTGGTCCTAATAATACTTAATTGCTCATTTGTTTCAACTTATTGAACTGTAACTCTTAGTTCAATTACTTGACAAACGTGTCCCATATATTAGCGTGACTCTGTCATGTTATTAGTGATGTTAGCCTGAATGTAAGAAGCGTAAGCGACTCTTTCATACTCCATTCTCAGAAGAAGGTTGTAGAAAGATGTGTTGCAATTTGTAGGTTCTTTTGTCGTAAGAAATAGAAGTAAAGATTGATTATTATTTAGTACGAAATGTAGACACATGTGACTTGATAGTCAATGATTAATATAAAGCAATGTATGGTTTAGATTCCAATTGTATGGTGAATTGACATTTCTGAACACATCTCGACAACAGTGTTAAGCGGAAGGTACGGTCATTAGAAGGAACTATCTCAGAGTGGTGTGCAAGATTGGACAAAGAAGATACTTTCTTGAGAGTATCGTTAATAATTACCTTTCTTTTGACGTCGGTATCGGTGTAATCTGTGCAAGTGACGATAATCCGGCGGTTCATCCCCCGAATCACTTCCGGCTGATCCGCTGCTTGAGGTCGCTGAAGAACTTTCGCTGCTTGCTAGCATCACGTCTAATAGATTGGCTCTTGCCTGGAGAAACGGCATTTTATTAATCGTATTGCTCTCAGCACTAATAATACGTAACAACCTTAAGTACTTGTTTGATTCTGATCAGGGTACAGGCATCCGAAATTCGACCATTCAAGCGACTGTAAAACTTACTTTCGGGTCGGTGAAGTCAATGTCTCGTTCAACGTGAACCCATCCAGTTGGACAGCAGCAGGCAAGGTCCAATTTCTCAAGCGGCAATTGGCTTTCGTGCGTCAGGGCGTTCTCCTCACCCTTTCTGATCATTCGATTCAGTTCGTCTATCACGTCCTTCGATGTGGCGCGTTCGTGGAAGCTCAGTGATCGATTTCGGCCTTCGACTAGTAAAGGTGCTCTCGCTGGACTGACCTGCTCTCGTAAGAGAATATATTTCATTAAAAACCATAAAAAATTTCAAGAAAATCGTAGAACTGTAGAAGAAAGTAATTCGATCAAAATCATGTCTAACATACTAACAAGAAATAAATAGCTAATTAATATTCATACTTTTGGAACATTATAATTTTACAAAGTTTAATATGTATAGTGTAAAAGTATGTAAGTAAAGGAATTTAGTAATTTTTATAATACTCATTTGATGATTAACATGGTTCGAATATTAATCATCGTAAATTTCAATTAAAACAGAGTAATTGATTCTGAACCAAAAGTATGATTTTTTTTAGGATAAAACTTACAACCGTGCTAGGTGTAGACGAAGTGGCCGCCTCTTCGTCTTCTTCAGGTACAGCGCCCAATTCCGATGGCGCAACCGTGGTGTATGAGACACCACCGTTGCAAGCCACTGCACTGATTATTCTTTCCTCTGGTGCTAGAGACGGGACAGGTATCTGATCCAGCAGATCGTCGTTACTGCTCGTTTCGATCATGTTGTCCGTGTGACAGTGGTCTTGATCGACGGATGTTTCAATTTCGGTGCACATCGTCTCCATTCCGCACTCGTCTTTGCCACCAGCTTCCTCTGAAACTATTCGATAGATAAATGATTTATACAATTAGATTTACTTTGTATACGTTTCGTTTAGGATCAAGTTTTAATTTGGTTGTAATGGTAATAAAATACATTCCAGAGTAAACGACCCAACATCTTATTTAACCTTCCGTGACCCCAGGTTATTTTTACTGCTTCCGTCACCCCCTTGGGTCTTTTATATCTAGACCTATTTTTTTCGTATCTATATAAGCTTCCAAAAAATCTGAATAAAATTCCGTGATAATTGCTAGAATTTCTACTACATGATCAAATAGTTTTTAAAGTTGAATGTTAAAAGTTTGTTTTTAATAATAATCCCTTCGTTTCGAAGATATTTGACCGCGGAATTTCGCTCCTTGAGGGACTTACTTCCTAGGGTACTCCTGAAAGTCACCTCCAACAAGAGAACATCGTTTTACAATATAATATTATTAATCGTTTGTTACCAGAGAAGATTACTAAATGTTTCAGTAAACTTTTGGGTAGAATCAGTAGAATCATAAAAGTATAGTATAGATTCTATACTAGTATCATATAGGATTCAGTAGATACACAAATTAATATTAACAACAAAACAAGATGCGTACCTTCCGTAGTAAGTGGCATGTTATTGTGCTCCAAAAGATTGCTCGGTAGTTCGGCTAAATACATTTGTTGTTCAGCGATGAATGACAAGACGCTCTGGAGAGCTTGTTCTCTGTCCGGTGGCGGTCTTCCGCTTCTCGACGACGTGCTGGCGAGACTCTTCGTGCTCTCGAACTTTACCAGCCTGTAAAAGTCTCTGGTGAAGTCGGTACCGATGGATGGAGAGTCTGGATCGTCGCTGCAGCCGGACAACGCTGCTGACGATCGTTTGCTAGAGTTATCGAGCGCTCCTTCCTCGCTGCTCCACGATGCACCGGGGCTTGTAGCGTAGGGCCACGATCCGGTCGCTCTGGCGTCCATCAGAAGAGCAACCTGTATAGTGAAATAAAAAAATGTGGTGATAAATGTGTTACGATATTATTCAAAGGCTCTGATGGCTGTTGTATCATATGTTTTTAATTTTGTCATATACAACACTATGACACTAACATAAACTTCGAGTAGAATATTTCTATTTTATTTTTTATTTCATGAGACCATTATTTATATCTGAAATATCTTTTCTAAAGAAGTGGAGTATTGTAAAAGAAAAACCTGAGAATATAATATTTCGAAAGATAAGTATATTCGACCTGATTCCTGTCTAAAATAATATCAACTCTTGTTATTCCATTCAGTAGCGACGTACCAATTCGCCTCCTGTTCTATCAGCAAGGTAACTGGCGCCATTCCATAAGCATTCGTTCGCGTCCTCTTCCAATTCCAAGGGATTATGCTCCTTGATTGCTGGGAGGGCGGGGGTGGTGGTGGGGGGTTCCTTCCATACCGTGGATTCACTTTGAACAAGATCCTCGGTGGACAACGAGAAACTCCAATCTTCCAATTCTGCTCTGTCGTATTCCAACTCGAGGAGATCTCGATGTTGTTGAGCACTCCTGCTGTCGTCCAGCCTGAAATTTATCTAACCGTTTAATCGCCGTCGCCGTACCTGTCTTTCTTTTAAATTGAACACGCTAACAGTCAACCCCTTGAGCATTCTTTTGCTTGACAAATTTTATTCTTCTCGTTTATCTTACACACACAAATAAGTAATTACACTGACAGTTCGGGGACACTTAATGGATCCTATAGACTATAGATCCATACAGAATTCTAGAAGGCACTCTAGAAGGCTACTATATGTATATAGTGGAGTGTAAATATAATTGGTGATTTAACTTCAGGTGTTCTAAAAATATTTAGAAACTACTACTTAACTTTTTACCTGTCAAACTTTACATGTATAAAAATGTTTCCCTATTTTTTTTACTATTCTGTAACTATCTTCTATTTTCTAAAACTGATCTAAGCATAGTTTAATATGCTCTACATTCACGCGAAGTTTCACTAAAATCAGAATTTTCGGGTTCGGAACCTTCCTTTGTAAGTAGCACTGAATATCCAATCGAATTTGTACCGAGGCTGCTGGAAGAATTCTTATCGAACCAGAAATCATTTTCCCTAACTTGACTACTTGACATAGACCAACCTGAGCCACTGTTGCACGTATTCAGCATCCCAGCCCTCCTCTTCGACCAAAAGAAGGGACGACGATCCCATCGGGCTGGGCAACTTGTACGGTGTAAAATTGGTCGTTGTGGTCAGTTTCAGGCATAAATGACTGTCGGAAAAACTGCGCATCACGTGCTGATACGGTAACAGGTCTTTGGTCGGTGGGTAGCTGTGCCGTGGATTTATTCCCACGGTGAGGTTCAACGGTAGGAAGAGGACATCCGGATCGCCAGCATCGAGGGTGACCAAACGGGCGTCTGGCGAAACATCCGCCTCGGTCTCGTCGGTCGCTTCCTTGAGATCCTCCAATCCCCGGGAGGGTTCCTGTCTGGCGCCCTCGCCCTGCACGTCGCTGGACATCGTAGAGTAACCCTCGTCCCTGTTTCCGCTCTCCGGACTCTCGCTGCCTTCCTCCTCCGACGGTTTCTGGGCTGAATTATTAAATAACATTTAATTCGTTAAACGAGGATCAACCGTGTCGTAACTACGGTCGATCTATTTACACTCTGAACATTTTTTCAAATAAACTGTCAGCGACTTCAAGATATTTCTGTTGTATCCTATCTAACAAATAAAAGTGTTTTCTGTCGTAATGAATGTTTATATACAGGTTTATAACTGTAATTTTTATACGTTTATTTCGATGGACTTATTCAGAGAAACTGAAGTCAGATAGGGTGGATGTACCAATAAATAAACATTATTGTATATAAAAAAGGGCAAATTAACTTATAAAAATAAGAAAATGATTATTGATTTTTGTTTCATTCTTTGTATCATACTCAATTTTTTTGCCATTGCATTGGTTAGAAATATTCATTTACTTAATATTGTTTAATCACCTGTATTTTTTCTTCTTAATGTAATTAACTACATTTTTCCAATTATTTAAATTGAAATTTATACGTTATAGAAAGGTGTAGATACTAAAAAATCTAATTTTTCATTTGTCTAATATTTAATATTATTAATATTTCAAATTCAACTTCAACAGTTACAAAATCTCTTAAATGTTCAATCTCAAGAATTCCATTGACCTTTTGTCTCTACCGAATTTGGGACGATCGATTGTTCTATAAATACAAACAATAGGCAATCTGTTAGTCACTTTTAGCGATTAATTCCATCTGTGTTATTCTGCTGAATTTTCGTTTTTGTGCATAATCTTAGGGAAAACATTCAAGTGCTTTAAATTGGGCACTCTTTTTTTAATAGTAAACACGTTAGTTACTGTACCTAATGGTCTATTTCTTCGACACTTCGTCGCTGCCATGACGGGTATTTGTAAATTAAGAGAACGAGGCCTCGACAATGGGACCCAAGCTGGGTCCAAACCAAGAGCAGCTACCACAGCTGCCGGTCCAGCTTCTAAGATTCCTTGTATCAACTCTGTCGGACTTCCTGGGCTCGCTGCTTGAGCCAGCAGCCCGGAAAGCGCTCGATTTTGAGCTTCGAGCTCCCGAATACGCCTCTGTAGTGCACCGATTTCTTCCCTGAGACCCTATACACGATAAAAACGAAATTGTTAGCGCGTATTCCGAATTCGATTTAATTTCAACGATAGAAAGCGCGATAGCGGACAAAGAACGAGGACTGGAGAGATTTCGATGTTGGATTATTTTGCTCGCAGAAGCATTTGCAACGCACTACTGAACTAATACTAAATTTCTAACTTATGAATAGTCAAATGAAACTAGATTTCAGCGAACTTTGTTTTAGCAAAATTCTGTTCTGTTAAGCGGCACTAGAATTAAAAAAAAATTCGACAAATGCGTTATTCCCTAAGTAGCAATATGGAAAGAATAATATACAATGTGCCTCCGAAAGTTATGTACAATTAGTCATGAGATGATTCCACATTAAAAGATGGGGAAAAATGTAGAATAAAATTTTTTCGTTTAAGGCTTCGTTTTCGAGAAAATTGTTTTTGAAAATCTGCTGGATAAGCGTGCAATTGAGTAGAACTTGACTAGCGCGTCTGTTCTTTGCATTCCGTTTCTACTTGCTACCACGACGAATACAAGTGCTTCAGATTAATGTTCAAAGTCGATTTTCTCGAAAACGAAGTCCCAAATGAAAAAATGTTATTCTATATTTTCGACTTATTTTTTCGCGTCGATTCACCTCATGTTCGTTTGTACATAACTTTCGGAGGCACCTTGTATAGGGATATGAAATTTATTTAAAACACTAGGTATGTGACACAGAGAAATACTAAAAATTGAATATCTTTCTTAGGGTTATATGAACCTGAATAGAATAGAGGGACTAAATTGATTACAATTTTTGCAAGAGTTTAATTAAAGACTATCGTACCTTGATTTACTAGCGTGATCTGATAATTTGTTATTTTTTGTCAACACTGTTTCTGCATTGAGTAAATAATTTGCGTTTCATACAATGAATCTAATCCTGGTATGCGAGGCATATACATATGTTTGCAGCTTTGCGACGTTCCAGCTCAGCAGATGCGGACGGATTAGAGGGGATCCATGTTAAGGGTGAAGATTGTTTAACAGATGACGGACACGTTCAACCAAGTTGTGTATTCACAAAGAAGGATCAGGTCAGATCAGTCAGATTTGCATTTATGGTAAATACGTGTTATTGTTATATGTTACTACGCCCAGACCAGGCAGTTATCAATTCGATGAACCACTGCTAGTGGGTTAAGTCTAATAAAACAGACTTTACGAATATTTCTTAAAATGTTATTTTATTTAACACTTTCGTTACTCTGAGCGACTATACTCTGCGCGGCATAAATATGAAACCGCCCTAAAATTCTCTATTCTTATGTATTATGGGTAAAATAAAAACGAACCAAGTATTATCCTTTTCTGGAGAAACATTATGACAAAATAAATAAACATTAAAAATGACCCCAGTCATTGTGATCCGAAGGTTAAACTATTGAACCAGACGAGACACTATACATTTCATCAGAAGTAAGTCACCGCTGAATTTCTATTTTCCTATTTAACCCTCTTAGTACCCGACAGCTTTTCTGTGCACCATCTAGAAATACCTTCGAAAATATGCATCTTCGAAGATATTTATTAAAATTAATACATATTTGTCTAAAAACGAAGATAATTTTACGCTTATTTTTATTTTTCTGTAAACTGTATATTGTTTTACATAAAAAAAAATGTTGGAAGTATTATACTTTCGTCACTTTCCGATATCAGAATTTATAATTTTTATTTCAGCGTTTGGGTACTAAAAGGGTTAAATAATTATCTATAATATAGATTATATTGCAAACTTTTCCATTGCTTCAAAGCATAAGCGCGTATTACACGTACAACCGTGTCTGTAACGAAAGGGTTAAGGATCTCGTACAATGGTTATCCAAAGTGGGCTTGTAAATGGTTATCTAAAGTGGGCTTGAAAATAGTACAAGAAGAGTCGTTCAGAGAAGAGTAGTGAGGGAGAGAAGAGTGAGAGAGAGAGAGAAAGATAAATCAAGGACGGTGGTAACGAGAGCATTAGCAATGAACCTTTTGGGATAGAAGGGCGCGGACCACCTGGTTGGCGACGTCGTCCAGGCACCGCTCGTATTGGCGACGCTGCGCGTCCGCGTCACGCGCCAAAGCGGCGTGCTCCGTCTCCAAGGTCGCCAGACGCGCCACCAGCGCGGCATGCACTTCACCAGCACACGCAGCCTCCAAGCCGCGCAGCTGACCCCTCATCGACTCGTTCTCCAGCTGCAGCTTCGAGATCTGTGCCTGATACTGATGCACGCGTGCCTGATTGCGAACAGAGAAAAAAGGAGACACTTATTGTCGATGGACACGATCCAGCCACCTCGTAAAATTAGATCCACCCCTTGAGAGGCGGCACTGAGTCGTCGAGTGATTTGGGCCCAATTTTAGCTGAACAGTATACAGGATGGGACATCTAAAACGGACCACTTGAATATCCTGGCTTGTTATTGGTGATAGAAAAAAATGTGTCAGACAAAACTTTCGTGGCATCGAGGAGCACATAATTTGATGTGAATAGTTTATTATAGGTGCACTCGTAGAGGTCATATGAAGGTCAACTTCGGTTTATTAAATGGAAAGACATGTTGTTTTATGTACCATCTAATAGAGTATTATGAAGGTATGTTATGAAACATATCTTTCTATTTAAAAAATTGAGGTTGACCTTCATATGACCTCTACGCGTTTATCTATCAAAAAAGTGTTAGTTTTTCAACATACTTAATTTATATATATATATACACCTCGTGAGATTTTATCCATGTGACATCTAACCTAGTCTAGAAGAAAAAAAATCAGCCAATCAGTTACTGGATCAAAAGTTGTCGCGGTTGTTTTCTTCTCAGGCGACTGTTTTGACCAACTAAGCTACCTAAGTTGACGGTGACACTGCTCCTAACACACATAACCTAAACGTAAACAAAGATGGCTGCTGTGTTGTACCTTTTACTGTCTCGCAACACAAGTGACGTAAAGCCATTAATCTCCCATCGAATCTAATCATTATTCAACGCGTACCGTCGATAAACAGACGCTACCTATTTCAGAAGACACTTTCTGAAGAATTTCTACAGACGTGGGATTCCTAGAGTCCTGCGAAAGGATCGAGATCCCATCGTTCCTCAGGTGCGATTTTTTTTTGCCAGCCTGTTGGTCGCAGCCCGCGGCGCGAGTTAATAACACGAGCGAGCGTTATTAGCAGAAAGGCGTTTAACGTTAAATTAGGGCTGCGGAGACCTGTCGGAGACAGGGGTGCTAATAGAGGGTGCGTGTGTCTGATTTATAACAGTCGTGCCAGCCGGGCCAGGCCCTTGCTAATGTCTACACCCCCTTCTTCCCGAAAGTGAAGGGAGGCCAACGATTTTCTGTCATCCCTTACCCTGGGTGGGTGAATGGGAGGAGAGTCGGGAAAATAAAAATACAAACTGGCCGGTTCTTGTAATTCTTCCCGCGGCGCATCTGACACCACGCCCCGCCGTTTCTAACGTTTCTACTCTTTGTCCTCGGTACATTAAGCTGCGTATTCACCGGCAAACAGTTGATGAACACTGTCCGCAAACAATGCTCGCGAGAACTTTGCAAACTTTATCGAACCACTAACGTTCCAGATATCTACAGGGTGGACGATTTTTGTTGCATGCTTGTTCGATCGAAATTTTGTTTCTATGCTTAAGCATCAGTGCAGACGTCATGAGTAGAACTAAGCAGCCGTTTTTTAACCGTTATGCGATTAAAAAAAAAAAATAGAAAATTGAAGCTTACATATGATAGATTTTAATTATAGGTATCTACACATAATATACTCAAATTCCTTTTATTTTTAAGAATTATATCCTTCTATTCTTAGTTTTAGTGTTAAATAAATTTCTAAATAATTATTATAAAATGTGTAATTTTATTTTGTGCAACTCACACACGTGGTATAAATTACGTACAGATGTCTGATAGGGAGTGTTATGGGCAAATGTCAGGGGACCTGGCGCCCCCTAGAAAAAAATTCTAGTTACGCCAATGATCTGTAGGGATAATATACGTCAACTTTTAGAAGGAACAATACGTATATCTATTGTTCGCAAACTGTTAGCGAACACCAATGGAGACTCAGCTTTACGCGTGCCACCCGCGGCAATTTATCGTCACGCGCCGACGGGTAGAGAGACAGGAACGTCGCTTCTGTGCCTCGAAATTGCACGCATCGGGCCCTGTGAAATTTCTAATCTAATTTTGAAGCGGTGTCGCCACGGTGGTTACCGGCTCGAGGAGAGCCTCGAAGGAACCCAACCCGCGCGGGTGTCGTCAGGCTCGAGAGACGCGTCGAACGACGGTGACGTATTTGCACAGGGGTGAGAGGATGGCACACGTGAGGCGGAACAATCAGGGTCGAACACGTGACATTTAATTGAATGCAAGAATCGAAGTTAATCGCGCGAATAACTGCGTTCCGATTGTAAAGTTTTTCTTGAAGTATTTATGGGAGCAAACCCTGCGAAAAATGGGGGAACTGTAGGAAAAGGAGGATCGAGGAATTGTAACCCATTAATCTCTTAAGGGTTCTATTTCATTTTGAAAACGTGCACTTGTGTGCTTAATTATTTTTAAGCTATGACGAGTATACTCGACGGAAGCAGAGTAAATAGATTTGGTGTAAAATTGAAATAAATGTTAAAAAAAAGTTAGTGCCTTATCAAACAGCCCTCATACATATATACTGCTGCATTTTACGAATACGTTTTTTGTTTTACCCAGATCTTACTTTAACGGATTGACTGCCACAGTGATAAAGGCCGTATGTAGTCAGACACGCTGTATTTCGTTTTTTAAGTCATAAATCGTCGAATATATATACGTTTAGTTAATAGAGACTGTGAGACTTGTTTTAAATTATACTGCGATATTAACTTTACGGAAAAATTTTGTTACGGTATTTAAATAATCCAGCCTCTTTGCAATGTACGTAAATTTGCATGAACACCCATACTATAAGTAGAATGGGTAAGATTCTACGATTAGGAGTAAGACAATACGATTTCACGATTTTTCGTTCATTTTTAACTCTACCACGACTTAACCCTCTGCTCTAGAGAGCGAAGCTATCACTAAATAAAATAGCATTTTCTGCTTTAGATGTATTTCTATCTAAGGAGTCAGCTTCCACGTATTCCTACCATCAACAGAACCATACCATGTCCCAATTTGTAAACAGATTTAGAAACACAGAAGATGAAATTCAAACTCTACGGGAAAAAGTCCAACATGCAACAATATTAAATCTAACTCCGTTAAACCCTCCAACTTCAGAATCGAGTACCCAGCTAAACGGGGGGTACTTAACGTTACGTGGGGCTCACTCATCGTTTATCCCATCGGGCGTACCTCCTCCCCCTCCCCCCTCAATTTCAATTCTACGGTGCTCTCCTTAAATTTATATCCGTTCGAGTGGTTCATCCGATTTCGTTCTGCCAGTCAGGACCGTAAGAGGGGTGTGTGTATCGCGAAATATCGGTTCCCTTCGGCGCGTTGTCGATAAGCACGATCAGATAACAAAACTACTTTGGTCCTTTCTCTCTCCGTCCTGGGGCAGCCGAGCGTTCATTGTCGGGGCCGTTATCTTTTTTGTATACACGGAAGCTGGAAGGGGGCGCCACGATGACACTCGCGTAAAAAGGTCCCTCCCCCCCCTCGTCGTCCAATAACAGCCGTTCATGGCACGAGCCAGTTGGTTATATTGTGTTTCGCTGCGAGTTGTCATGCAGGATTGTTCCTGGCGGCGACACGATGCTAGACAATGGTCTTGAAACGCGGTGGATCGAGAGTACACGTGATACAATTTATTTCGTCCTCTTAACTGCCATACGGATACTCGATTTCGACGGGATTAAACGAACCAGGGGGGGGGAATGCGCGATGTTTGGTTGGGTCTTGCATGTCCACTAGCGGGATGGACGTTTAGGCTTGACGTTTCCATTAGTTTCTTCGATAACTTCTGCCGCGACGTCGACGTGGCATGGGTACGGATCAAACGGCGGCTTTCTGAAGAGTTAACGGAGCTCTCTTGGGTATCGAGTGGAAAAGAAAATGTACGCGAGATGACTTCGGCTTAGGTTATGAGCTCCATTTGGGGTATGTATTATGCTGTACAATGTTTATGCGGTGAAAATTGCTTGTTGCTATATAGTTTTCGTCAGGGCTGTTTCTGGGTTATTAGCCGCCCGGGTGCAAAAACAGTATCGTCGCCCTTATTAATTTAACATTATTTAAGTAAGAATTTGATATGCAGTGGTTACTTTTACATATATAATGATAATAAAATATTCATTTTAAATATGTTTGTTTAAAATGTATATTTTATTCCACATATAAGTATAAAACTAACACATAATGATTGTAATAATGATGTTATGGTTGATAAATAGGGACTATTAATTACCTACAGAAATGTAATCCACTAAATATGCTATTTTAGGTTGTCCACGGTATTGGTTTATCCCAAGACACTAGTTAAGATCTAATAAGAGAATGCAGTTTCGAGTACAAATTTCCAAATTTTAAGTAAACTAAAATTGTTATTATTACAAGTTGAGATTCGAAAATTTGCCCAGTCAGGGAGGTTAACCCAAACAGGTTAACATTGTCATTTACTGTAGAACATCGTGCCTCCCCCCCCCCCCTCTCCAACGTTGGAACACTTCTGTGTACACATTCCGTTCATACAGGGGGGCACAACAAATTTCCAGTTCATATTGTAGTCGGTTGCTGGCGCAATAACTGGGCGATACGCGTTTGCCCCGTGTATTTGCAGACGGCCAATATTCCAGGACTTAACAAAATAACGCCGCCAGGGCGCGCACCGCGTAGAGTTGGGGGGGGGGGTGTGGAAAGGGAGAGAAACATAGTAAACGGTTGCGTTTACCAGGGAACCCTTAGAACCGTTACGCACTATCTCGTTCACGGCCGGTTTGCTTCTAAAAGAGTCGTAGATTCAGGAACGTAGGGGTGTGCATCACTGGCCCCACGGAATACCCGTTTATTATCGATCGTTGCTCGATCTCCCCCGCCCCCTCTGACGGGTTTAATGTCGGCCTTCCCACACCGAACGTTCACGAACCCCTGAAAATCCCTCTATCGGCTACGAGGAACCGTGGCACGCCTGCAAGAGTTCTCTTCTAGCCGTTCGATTTTACTTTCGAAGCGTGCAACTCACCCCTGCAAACACACCCCTTACCCTCTACTTCCACCCCCTCCCCCCCCCCCCCCACTCTGAAGAGCCTTCTGTTCTCGATGGTTGCCGATCTTCCGACGAGAAGTTACTTCGAACAACTCGCGTTCGGATAATTCCATCCGACAGCTGGAGAGACTCCGTTGGCCAGTAATTGATCTACGCACGCGAATTTTCAATTACAACGAGAATAGGGGTTGAATGAAACGTGAAAGTAACTCCTCTTGTTACCTCCCTCCCTGAACGGGATGTTCAGTTTGGATCTTGGGTGTTTGTTTTGTGGTTGTTCGAGGGGGTGGGTTTTGGTACTTGTTAGCAGTTGCTTACTTTCTTGTTTGAAGTATTCTGGGTGGGTCTTTTGGATCATCAGTGTTAGGTTGTAATTGGAATGTATAGCAGTAGATAAGAAAGTTACCACTTTTCGATTTGTTTTGTTAGGTGCAAAAATTAATTCGTGGATCCAAGAATTAATTATTGACTCTAAATTGTCAGTATTTTTATGAGAGGGGAATCGGTAACTAACCGAGGAATGGCGTAAATGTGTAGAAAGTAATGGAGAATGCTTTCAAGCGTAGATTGTATCTTGGCTTTTTGTAAATAAACAACAAACGTATGAAAAGGGCACGAATTAACCAATCATGCAAGTAATTACCTATTACCATTGTTTCGTAGAGATTTAATACATTTCATTATTAATATATTAATTTAATTAATCTACGTAACTATTTAATATATTACAAATGAATATTAAAAAAACCAGGAAACATGTATGGACGTCGAACTGTCGCAAGCAATGCCTTTATACTGACGTCCGTATAAACGTGGAACTCGTTTGAGGGGTGAATTTGTACATAAAATATTTTTAGTATTTTTTAATATCGACTTAAAACTTTAGTATGTGGTTAGTATATATTTTGATAGAGGATTAAAAGTTGTATAAAACCCAGGTTTTAAGCTGATGTTAAGAAATAATAAAAGTAAAAACGATTAGAAAAGTGGTAACTTTTTTGTCTGTTACTGTATATTCTTTATGGGGTAGTTCAGATGTAGTGGAATAATTTTTAGATTGGATTTTATGAGCTTTTAATTTAAGTGTAATACTCTGTATAATGAACAATAAATATGTTAATCAATAAACGTGTCGAAACACTTTCTGAGGGGTTGAAATTATTAGCAAACCGTCCTTACACAAAATTACCTATGTTCACTCCTTAGAAGCCAAACTTCAACACATTCCTTAAATCGACATTTTTATTATATTATTATTATTAACGTACCAAAACCCTTAGAATTGAAGATGATTGGCAACACTTATTGTTTTTCCTAGATATCAGGTGTATTTTTTATTTTACGAAAGTGATATTCTTCTCGCGGGGAGTTATTCTTGGGGTGATATTGTTACGGGGTTAAAATTAATTAATTGTCTATCCATGCATAAGGAATGAAATTACTGATGCTCCAAGTATCCCAAAACTCACCTCATAAGAAAGCGTCAGCGCAGTCTTCTCTTGCTTCAGCTGTTCGGCCCTGTGCTTGTGTTGCAGCAACCCCCGTGACGATTCCTCCATCCTGAAACAAATCAGATCCGCTTGAAGTGGCAGTCCAATTTTAATTCCCGTCGAAAAAGAGATTCAAATTGAACCGGCCTCCAATTTCTTTCGCCTCTTTGCGCGAGGTTGGGTAGCATTGTTACGCTCTTTCGTTTCGTTTGCGTTTCGGCGCGCCAATTCGGCCGTGAAATATTAATGTTTGAAAATTCAATTAAACTGATGAACCTTGCGACAATACTTCCTGCGTTTCGACACAATTGTGCGATATCTATTGAAAATTCTTCGGGGAAGTTAAAAAAGTATTAACCTATTCATACAAAAAAAACAATTAGTTTAGATGATATTTTAACTTCAATTATTCATAGTAGCATAAGGGAAATCAAAAAACATATGTTTATAAATATACAATAAAGATGTGTAGTATTCCATATGGGAGTATTTGAGACAATTTCACAGTTTCATAAAAATCGAAAGGTGGACAGTTTCAGAACCGCAGCGAAAATTCAAATTCTCAAGAAAATCCACAATCTACAAATACCAGAAGGAAGATATTCTCCACAAAGAACCAAGAAGTACGTGTCCTCCGCGATAGAGTAGTAAGTAAGATAAACACGCGAACATCGTTTTGTCCTACCTCGTTTTCAAAGCAGCCTGTGCGCGTTACGGTTCCACGCTAATGATTCGGTGTGTACCAAAAGGTTTATCCACGCTCGCGTGAATCGAAGGCGATCGTAGGAAAAAAAGAAAAAATTCCGCAACCCCCTTCTCGCCCAGCCGCGGTGATTCGATTATCCGTTTCTTCGGAGGGTGGCGGCGATTCGCGCGCGACTTCCGTCGACAAATTTCTTCATGCGCACGCTCCGCGGGGCTTAATGATCTGATTAGAGATACAAGAGGGTCCCGGAGGCTGTGAGATATGAAGCCGATTTAAGCTTTTCAAGGGGGTAGAAGGGTCTAGGAAGCTTTTCCTCAACGCTTGGCAACACCCTTTCCCGTTTTCCCTTTGCGGCAGTGGCTTTCTTTGGCCAACTTTCGAGCCTAACTGCCGACTTTCGGGGCAACGTCCAATTGTTTTCTATCGGCGAGGAGCCATCTGCAGTCACTCGGAACGGTTTAATGAAGATTAATTGGCAATTATACTTAGCGGCTGTAGTTTCCACGTGTCGCTTCTGCGCGCGGAAAACTTTTCGAATGGATATATAGGGTGAACCACGAATCGTGATCAGTAGATATCATTAGATGTGTTCCAATGTACAGAGCGAAATGTATACAAACAGTAGGAAAGAGCTCAACATTGGAACGCGTACAATGGCGTAGCATACTCTTTGTAATAATACAGTTCGAATATTTCTTTAATCTTTTCTCGACTCAGATGAAAAAAAAAGTAACACATGTTATGTTATGATACTTACCGAATTCATCTTGAAATCGTCTAACAGATAGGCGTGAAAAAATTATAGGTGTATTTGCAAAAAATTGAAGGTGACCTTAAAAAGTCATGACAAAAAAGAGTTGACAAAAAATTTGCTATAATCACGTTAAAGCTCTCTCGAAACCATGCTATACCTGATAAAAACATTTTCGATCGGACTGCTAATAACAGAGCAATCTCTACTGATCAGGATTTGTGGTTCACCCTGTATACATATTTTATCCTTTGAGCGCGCATTTGTGTCTGGGACGGAGTAGGTACGTTGTGTATTTGGTCAAATACACTGCTTAGAAGAGTTAGAGGATTATGTATTGCAGTCACTGTGTCTGCCAATGACATGTATAATTGCTAGAAATTTCATATCGTGGATTTACGAGCGTTCGATTCGTTTCCTTGCATTAGGGGGAGCAATAAGAGATCACATGGCAGCGATCCTATAATTGTTTCGGGCAGTGCCACTGTAGGGTCGTTGGCAACCTCATCGAATAAAGAAGGCATGTCAAACGAACTCTTTTAGCATACAGTTTTAAATTACCTTCAAATTTTGAGTTTCTTTCTTTAAATGAAAAAAACATGCTGCAGTTATATTTTTCAAAAAAGTTTCATATATTTTACAATAATTATAGCAAGGACAACAATAAACTCAACATATCCCAAACGGTCATTTCTTTCCCGCTATTCCAACATCAATTTCATAATTAACAAAAATCAACTGTTGAGAGAGAAGATTTCCAGAGCCAGAAACGAAATATAACTCTTTACAAGTGATCGAGAAGTCTGATTGCAGAACCAAAGCAACGAGATCAATTAAACTTCCGACAGAGAATCCAACAAATGGTGTGTCCCGATTCCAATTACATTTCGTGCAAGCCCGTTTCCGGTCGGCGCCCGTCTCATAGAAGATTCATTTGTGTACACACCGGATCGTGAAAAGAAACTCCGCGGGTAAGCTGATTGTCCTGGCGAACTTGCCTATCTCCGGCCGTGCGTCGAGGAGAGAGTCCTGTGTATATTTGAGGAGTTCGAGGAGACGTTAATCGGCTTAAAACTCCGCTCGTTAAAGTTTCCAGTTTACTTTGACTCTTAATGTGCTTCCGAAACGATTATGAAAGTGGCCTTCGGCGGATTCAAGCGTCCGATCGGGCTTAACGAAAACTAAACTGCCCGGCGCGGCTTTATTAACTCTGCGAAGAGGCGACAGCGTATTATGCGTTCGCTTCTTATCCACTTAACCTTCGATCCTCGTGATATTATCATTCGCCTTATTTTCACCCTGTTCATTCAGATTTAATACACTTTTTTTTCGTTCTTTTTCTATCCTGGAAGCTTGTTAATAAAGTTTTTGACTACCAAAGCTTATCGATAATGACGTTTTTCTACTATTTTAATTCCAAGTTCTTGAAAGGATGTCGCCATCTTTATCAATGTTATCGAGGAATTAAATCACCTTTTGGGGATTGCAATATTATTTATTCTACAGGAAATGAGTATTTCGTATTTTTCAATCTACTTCGAAATAATTTTAGTTTTCTGCAACGATCTATATTCCGGTATTTTAATTTTAACAATAAGTTGTCAGTGTCGTCGAGGAAATAAATGAGATGTCTAAGGTTCAAATTCAAATTTATTCTAAAGGGGAATGAGTATTTCCGTCAACATTTGCGGAGAATAGACTGAAAATTTATACAAACAGCCCATGAATCCTAGCAGACGAGAAGGTATCTTATCCCTCTCACGAGTATCACGCAATAATTCAGAGGATCCAGAAGTAACCTCGTAACCTCCTTCATTAGACTTTTACCCTGCAGTCGATTCCACCAACGAAATGGGGGACCTTCCACGGTGATTCCGCGCAACTTATCAACTTGGGGTGCCGTTTCAGGGTTCTCGGGCTTAAGAACAATGCTTTGCAAACACTAATTATAGGCGCAAACAGAAGAGCGATCGTCAGTAAGCTAGTTACACGATGGATAATCAAGATTCCAGCCTCGGGGATTCCGTTTGCATATTAACACCCTTACGTCGTTTCTCAACATTTCACGGATTTCGTCTGATTCATTGTCAATGTGCAATTATTCCGTTTGATACATAATTTTATAAGTTTAATTCTGATGCGACAATTCTTAAATATCGCTTGCTGTTTATACAGAAGACATCTCATTGACAAAAATTTTGTTAATCATAGCTTTCGAGACTGAAAGATCTACGTAATAAGGAAACATGTTTGCCGAATCCGCCGAACCGATTTTAGTGACACTTATATTGGAGATAGTTCTCTAAAAAATATTTGACACGTGTTTTTTTTTATCGTCCATGTTAAGGGGGTGATAACAGTCTCTACAGTTGTGGGATGAAGCTATACGATTATTGTCCAGGCGTTATCCTCACGTGTATACTTGTCCCCCAAGTTCATACTTTGTTGCCCCTTCGTTTTTGTTGCCGAGGCTTGGGTGCCGGTCAAAAATCGAATTTACGTGGGTCGGAAGCATTTCTCCCTTTGTGATTACTGTCCTGGCGTGGAACCGAGTTCGGGACGATAATCGAGAGGTGTCTGTATTATTTGTTTATAGATACCTATTAAGTTTCTCGTATAACGATCCAACTACCAAAATGAATTATGTTAACTAGACTGATTATCCATGTGTGTTTCGAGTCGTGACAAAAGTACACAAATAACGCGACGAAAGATGAAAGTTCCGGCGTATTCGCGGAAGATGATTATCGTTTAATGAAAATCCGGCGAGCCGCGTGGTTCCGCGTGTAATTCGGCGCGGCGTGTCCCTGCATCATTATAATCGAGTTTGCAGGGCAATAGCCGTAAATCACGAGAAACGGCTGGCCACTGCCATGTGCCGGCGATAGAGACCCGGATGGCCTGTGCTGAGAGGGATGGGACTTGGTATTACGCTGGAACACTCGGCCGTGTTAATATGTCTTCGAATCTCGCGGCAACCATCAGTTTCCGTTTGCGTCTTCGCGTCATACAATATCGGAATATACTGTTTCAGAAGCATTACTCTATACGTACAGCCTACTTGAAGTATTTAACCAATGCTAAAGTCAAAATTAACAATTGAAGAGTTATTATAGAAACCATTGTAAGCGCCAAAATTAGAAAATTTTGTTTTTTTTTAATCGAAAAATGTTCTACGTGCTGATGGGAATAGTGTAGTGTACACCTTTAGTGCAAATTCCCTTTCTAAATAGTTACCCCTAATGAGACACCCTGTTTATAAATGTTCTTCATACAACTTTAATAATCCTTCAACAATATTTACTGTAAACTTTCAGTAATTTTGTAATGCCTTGTAACATTTACTGCATATTGAATACAATGTAGTAATTGTAATTAGAACGTATTACACAGTCATTATTATTTAGAATCATCAAAAAATATATAACAGTTTATATTTTAATATAATTTTTCACTGTTCACGTTCTGTACAAGTAAACCTTTACTTTTGTGAAGAACGGGGGCGGAGTGTTGTAGGAAGGGCAATACTCCTGGGAGTTTATCAGGAATGCAAGTAGTTCATGCACGTTATATCGCAGACGCTCGAGAGGCACTTTGTATTCCTCTGTTAAGT